AGAGCTCAGAGCCCCTTCCAGTGCCTAAAGGGGCTCCAGGAGAGCTGGGGGGGGACTCTGGGTCAGGGAGGGGAGCTGTGGGACGAGGGGGGACGCTTTGACACTGACAGAGGGGAGATTGAGATGAGATATTGGGAAGAAATTGTTGGCTGTGCGGGTGGTGATCCCCTGGGGCAGGTTGCCCCGAGGAGCTGTGGCTGCCCCATCCCTGGAGGTGTTCAAGGCCAGGTTGGACGGGGCTTGGGGCAACCTGGGCTGGGGGGAGGTGGCCCTGCCCAGGGCAGGGGGTGGCACTGGATGGGCTTTAAGGTCCCTTCCCACCCAAACCATCCTGTGAGTCTATGATTCTATTCACAGTAAACTTCTTTAAAATGTCTGGTCGTTGGCTTTTCCTCATCCGCTTATTTTGGAAAACAGCAGGGTGCAATCCCCATCTCTTTTAAACTGTGCTCACCGCTGTGACATCCCGGTGCCAGGACACCCCTCCGTGCCGTGCCCACGGTGACCCTGACATGTAAGAGGCTCACTCTGGGGACTCCTGCTGGTGCTCGCCAGGTTGCCGTGACCGGTTTGCCCCGTGGGTGGGCAGGGATGGCTGTCAGGGTCCGGCAGCATGGACTCCCCTTGCTGAAGGGTTTTTGCGTGAAAGCGGGTTCTGCTTGGGGCGCAGCCCATCCCTGCGTGCCCGATTGAGGTGTCCTCCAGACCGGGCACAGGGCAGAGGAGTTGTTTCGTCAATTTGGGGAAGAAAGCATTTCTGACTCCTCCTCGAGTAACTGTGAGTTGCGTTACAGCGTGTCGTTGGCAGTTCCTCTAAGGAAGGTCCTTCCGTGGCCCTCGGCTGCTCTCCGCTCTGCACCCAGGGGTGACCTGGCTGTCCCCAACCCCGCGAAGCTGCTCTGAGCCCTCAGGGCCTGCAGGAGGGGCAGCGGGCAGGTTGCGTCTGTACACTTCTGTGTTTAAAAACCCTCTGCTCCTGCTTCAGGTGAAGCAAAGAGGTTTTCTGTAACGGCTCTTTTGCTTCCCCTGTAGCTGCCAACCTAAATTGTCCCGTCGGTCTTGTCCACCCGAGCGCTCTAAGTCTGCCCTCTTCCAGTTTGAAGCCAGCAGATGTGGAGCACTTAGTCACCGCTCGCGTCACGGAGCTGCTCTGTCTCATTTTCAGCTTTCTCAGTATGTTTGAGGGTTCGCTAGGTAGTAAACAGTAAAAAAAATTCTGTGTGAATCGCGTTTTTGGTTTTGTTTAGCACTTAAGCCCCCACTTATTTACTTTTATTCTCTCACATGCGTCCACACTTTTTTTTTAATTAACTGTATTTTGCTGACTGTGGAAGAGGGGGGTTTCCACACTGAGTTGCAATTCTGATGGAAAATTTTGCAACTTGACAATTTATACTTCATGTGTCCCCTCTCTGTGATCAGTCATACTTTTTCAATGAAGTTATTTTCTTCTTAGCTCTTGTATCTTTGCATTCAATGTTATCTGTATTGTCCTAAAAGATCACAGATGTTCTGGAGGTTCCTTTTTTTCCCCTTAAATACTGATGTAGCTCATCTTTTCCCATTGTGAAACCTGGGCCACTATTCCTTCTACCATTACGTTAAGTTCTCCTGTCCAGCTCTGGTGCAGGCGAAGCATTGTGGAGTTCATTGTCATGTTCTTTTGAATTCAGTGGTATCTCTGGTCTCTTGCAGTAACTCGTCACAACCACCTGAAGGACTTCATGCTGGTGGTGTCCATCGTCATCGGCGTGGGTGGCTGCTGGTTCGCCTACATCCAGAATCGCTATTCCAAGGAGCACATGAAGAAGATGATGAAAGACCTGGAGGGACTCCACAGAGCTGAACAGTCTCTCCATGACCTTCAAGAAAGGTAGGTTTTATGCGTCCACCCAGTTGGAGCATTCAACTGTTGATCTTTCCTGCAAGGTCATTCCACATTTAGATTTCGGAAAAGATTTTCTTTTGAGCTGTGGTGCTTCTGTGCAGCAGTCACCTGGTGCTGCGTACCCGGGTCAGCACCTTCCTGAGCGACCGCCGCCGACCTCTCAGCCCGTCTTAACAGCTCGAGCGGGCGCCTGGCTCCTTACCAGGCTACACGTAAAGATGTCTGCGTGCTCCCCTGACCTGCTCTTTGGCGGTGACGTGCCAGCGGTTGGTACTTGCCATGAGCCACGTGAAGGCCTCGGTGGTAAAAAGGCCCTCGTGTTACTGCAGTCCCGAAACCTGGCAGTGAGGCCACCTGAGCGCAGTGGCAGGGTCCGACACCAGCATCTCCCGCTCCAAGGTGGGCTCCAGTGCGCACTGACGCGGTCGAGCGCAGCCGTATGTGCTCCCACGCAGTCTTGTTTCCTTTCTGCCCTGTTTTTATCTTGTGTTTTGTCTCTTTAGTCCCTGTTCTGCTCTACTGGTTGTTATTGGTTTGAAAAAAAAAAAAAAAGTCTGAATTTTGGGGAAGAGTTGACTGGGTTCGGTTTTGCTGCCGTGGGCGTGTGGGAGCTCTCCTCCCCGCACTCAGGACTCCCCCGCGTCCAGGAGCAAACCAGCCAAGGGCGCGCTGTGGATGGGAGCGCTCCTGCTGTGCTCAACAGCGGTCACTCTTCGTTCTGAGGGTGTTTTTATCTCAAATGGGTCCTTCCTATTTATTTACCACACTTGGTTATATGGGAGCAGTGAAACGTGCAGCGGTTTCTACTCCCAGTCTGACTCAACCTGAAAGTATATCCGGATCCCCAGCCCCGAAATTACCCTGTAGATCCGTGCCGAGAGGGGACGAGGAGTCTCTTAAGGAGTGTGTGGTCATCAGCTCACCTCGAATTTGTCATCCAGGCTGATCGGGTTGTTTCACCCTGGCTTTCGATGGGGACACAGCATGCTGAAGCCGTGGGAGCAATCGGAGGAATTACACGTCCCCTCTTGAGTTCCGTGAGCTGTGTGTAGGAGTCCGTGCTGCCCTGCCGGCACGGTGGTGCCTCAACCAGGAGTGTTCCCTGGGAAGAAGGAAAAAAAACCCCAATTTTGGAGTATTACATACGAATAGTTGAACTCTAGGCACTTGGGCAAAGTATTGTAGCTTCAGGAATGTGACCTCCACTCCCAGAAAAGATTGTAATGGTTCCAGTAAAACTACTCATCGGAGAATGGGTGGCAAAAGAGGCCCTCTGCAGACACAGGAGCCTTCCAGGAGAGAAAAGAGCATTCGAGACTGTTGATGACAAAGCGGTGGGGTTTTTTGGCAGTAAGATATTTTTTAAGGGCAGATTTAGCAAATAATAGAGGATGATAGTCTTGGGCTGTAACTGTTTTTCATTGGTTTTAAGTGTAATTTTGGAGGATGAGCCTTAATTTGGTGACCATGCTAGCTGGCGGCTGCGTTCCTGGTGGCTTCTCCGAAAGCGGAGCCCCTCCCCGGGCAGGCGTGCCGACGGGCGGTGTGAGGAGCGGGCTGTGCCAACGCCGGCGTCCCGAGGAGGTCGGTCTGCCCTGGAGGCTTTGGAAGCGGCCGAGTCTTTGGAAACCCTACGACGTACCCACAGGACTGCAGCCTGGTTTCTCGCCTCCATGCTCATGGCAGCCTTCAGGGAACTGCCCCATGAGCGTTGCTTGAAAGCCTTTCTTCCTGGAGTGTCGTCGCATCAGTTGGTGTCTGTGTGGAGGGCAAACACTTGAGAGAGTACCAAGGTGATGGTGCCAAACTGGGCGCGTTCCCCTGGCAGTAGTGCGGATACGTGACCTGCTTTCTTTTGGCATGGAGATAGACTGAAGTACGTTTCCTCTCTGCCTACCACGGCGCCGGCCCCAGTCCACAGCTGGTTTCACAAAGCTTTCAGTAATTTTACATTACGGGTTGGACATATCCCAGAGAAAAAGATTTTTTTTTTCTACAGCCAGAAGGAAGATGGGAATTCCTTCTCAGCATCCATCTCCTGGAGCAGCAGAGCTGTGTCCGGGGCGGGAGGTCTCTGCTGGGCGTCACTGACGAGCAGGTCACACCAGAGGTCCAAACGCCGGCTGCTGTGAATGTGCCATGTGGGGAACGACCTTGGGATCTGCTGCCGAGGGCAGAGCCACGTAAACAAGTAGATGTTCAATTAATGCTCTAAAGCCAGATAGGAAGAAACCCAAAACCACGTATACTAAGCATAGCTTGAGTCTTAAGCCGGAGCAGCTTGTGATGTTCTGCAGGGTGTGCAGTCAGGAGGGCTCGTCCTCTGCAGAGGGCACTGAGCTGGAGCTCGAGGAGTGGGAGGTGAATTCCTGGTGCTTGTGGGGCCTCTTGGCAGAGGATTGATCTAATTCTCCTCTGAAAGGGGGAGTACGCCTTCGCTTCTTCATCCTTGAGCCCCAGCAAGGTTCTGCCACTGTAGAAGCGGCAAAAATACCAACAGCACTGGTTCCCATGGGCTTGTTCTGTAGTTCTGCTCAGAAACTTCTTTTCTAGAAATTTCTCCCTAGGGCTTGAAGTAACCTTCTCTCCCGGCTGATTGAAACTCGGGGCTGAACAGACCTCCGGAAGGCATGCGATGCTGTTCCAGCTGCCTACCAGCTGCTAGCGCTGTTCCTTGATGAACACCTCTGATATGCTCTTGAAGAGTTGGAAAGGGGAGATTGATATAAAAAACATTTTTTGTTCATCTTCAAAATACCTTTTGAGAACGTCCTTCAACAGTGACACTTCCCAGTCAGTTAAATGACCCATCAAGATAAAAAAGTTCACGTCTTAGCACACCCTTCTGATGGCTGAAGATCCGTATTGAAGATCTAATGACTGTATTGAAGATCTGCTCCTGAATCGTGAAGCCCCCAGATGGACGGTTTCTTGCCCTCATTACAAGTGCAGCTCTGGAGACACTTTGTCGTCTCGCGGAGCTCAGTGCAGGTGAAACCAGTGTGGCAGAATCGGTTGGGTTTGAACGGGAATGCACAAAGCGTGGTTTTGTCTGCAACCAACATAAGAAAATACGGGCTCTGCTGTCAGGAAAAAAATCACACTAAGGGAAAATACGATGCTAGAGTGCCTTTGAGAATTCACTTTGGGGTAAAATTGCTTCCCGTTCTGCATCATAGTTTAGGGGAATTTCTCCTTTAAACAGAGATATTTTGGTGGTTCGGGATTCCCTAGTATGGAAGAGCTTTAGCACTGATGCACAGGGCAGAGACCGTGGGTTTATCTGAGAACTTGGAATGTCTTGGCAGGAGTCTCTTTAAATTGGGAAGAAAAACACTTGAGTTTTTCAACAGAGCTGTAAATTGAAAACGAGCCTTTTCCAAGAAGAGAGCCAACATCACGACTGATGAGAGCCCGTTGCTATCTGCGTGCCAAGGAGGAGCTGGGACAGCGAGCGGCTTCGCTCCTGACCCAGGAGGCAGCGATGGGTCCCTGCGAGTCTGTGCGTGGGCTGCGCTCCGTCCCCCGTCACCAAACGCACAGCCAAGCGCTGTCCTTCGGGACGAGGTTGGAAGATGGTCACCTCTGCATGTGCTGCGGGGAGAGACTGAGGACCGGCTTTTCCCTTTCCGTTAGACCCCAGCCGGTCCGGGATGAGGGGGAGCTGCTCGGGGAGCGCAGGAGTGCCCTCCCGAGATGTCATTTATTTGGTTTTTTATTTTATTTATGTCATTATTTGTCATTTGCAGCCCAGGTAGAGCACACCCGGAGCCAGACCTCCCTGTCCCCTCTCGTCAGTGTCCCCACACATCCCTCTGTTGGTTTGCTCTCCGGTTTGAATGTTGAAGATCTTGAGTGGGAGAAGGTTTTATCACCTTGAAATACTTATTTCTGGCTAAGATGATTCCATTTGGGGTTTTAGGATGGGTTTGGTGGTTTTTTTTTTTTCATTGTATGGATCGTTTTACTTGGTCACTGAAAATCTATCTGCTGTAAGCAGCTACTGGTTTTGCTGGTTAAGCTGGTGCCTTGCTGACCTCACAGATGTTGCTGGTAGCTTCAGTGTAGGTCAGTGCCGTATTTAAGATCCCACCGCTCCGTAGCGAAGCTGCCCGGGCAGGGTGGGAGGCGCACACAGGGGGAAGTGGGGAGTGGAGCTTTGCTCCTCCTGGCAGAAACCCGGAGTTTCCTCAGTTTGGTCTGGGTTAAAAGTCGCATTGCCTCTGCTGCTCGTGCAGTAGGGGTTTGTCCAGCTTCTACTGCTCTGTCTCAAACTGTGGTAGCTTTTGGAAGAGAAGTTCATGTTCCAACAGTGGGACTTAGACCAATGCGCCTGGTTTCTGACACCACATTGTGTCCCATCCAGTAGCTGCAGTACATGTTCTGGGAACTCATCACATCTTGATTTGAAGTTATCCAGAGATGGATGTACCACATTCCTCTGAAATTTGATCCAGGGTTGGTTTGTTGCCACCATTTACAACAGAAACCCAACCCAAAAGACATTTCTCGTTTGAATCGCGAGGCTGGATCTTGCGAGAAGCCCTTTAATACTCTTCTTTCCTTGGTAGTACTTGTTCAACATGGTTGGTCAGAACCTTCATTATGAAGGGAACCTCTTCGTTTCATTTCAACCAAATATTTGCCAAATCTTTTTTTCCCCTTACACTTGGCAATCGCCGCGTCTCCAGAAGCACGTGGGTTTGGGGCTGTGTTTAAGGGAGGCACGCTGGCACCAGAGGTTGGGTGGGTGGCAGCAACCAGAGACCTCCCTGCCGCTCGCCAGCACAGCGCAGTCCCACGTGGGCCCGGTCCCTTCTTGATGCTAATTTGATTTCGCTGAACTCGTGCGAGGATTTGGCTTTTACACTAGTGCAACCCGCCCGAAACGCAAACGCCATAGAAACCCTGAAACGTCGCGCTGTGGCCGCGGTGGTGTCTCCATCAGAGCGCTGTGGCTCTCCAGGCTGAGTGGTTGAACTCTCCTGGATGGGTACGAGTACTCTCTTACTGCTTTTTGTTGCCGGATATAATTCCTACCGATTTAATTCTGTCATGAGGAAAAAGAGTAACTTCCAGGCAAGATTAAGACATGTCTAAATTTGAACACTTTTGAAGTGGAACACAGAGACATCCCATCTGGGTGTTCATACCTGCTCCGGCAGATCTTCCCCTCCCTTTTTTGTTATTAAAGGCAAAGGGCTTAACTTTTATAAAAACACTGAAAATTCAAATCAATGTGAGGCTTATTAAGGGAAATCTTGATGTGCTTTGGGAAATTAAGAAAATACGTACTGAGTATTTAATAAATGAAATAAAGTTGAGAACTGTAGAGTTGATAATTTAATTTATTCCTGGGCACGGTGAACTTTCTCCTTGACTTTCCAAATCATAGAAGCATAGAATGGTTTAGGTTGGAAGGGACCTTAAAGCCCATCCAGTTCCAACCCCCTGCCATGGGCAGGGCCACCTCCCCCCAGCCCAGGTTGCCCAAGGCCACCTCCAGCCTGGCCTTCAACACCTCCAGGGATGGGGCCTCACCAACCTCTCTGGGCAACCTGTGCCAGTGCCTCACCACCCTCACAGGGAAAAACTTCTTCCTCATGTTTAATCTAAACCTGCCCTCTTCCAGTTTGAAGCCATTCCCCCTCGTCCTGTCACTCCGTGCCCTAAAATACAGATCTCTGTGGACGTCACCGTAGAGTAAATAAGAACGGGGTTGGTCTGGGCCGGGGCTGGCCAGCCCTGGCGCTGCGGACTCCCTCGGGTGCCGGTAGCCCGACAGGCGCAGCATTGGGCACAGCTCGGTCTCTCTCTGTTGCAGGCTGCAGAAAGCTCAGGAGGAGCATCGCTCTGTGGAGGTGGAAAAGGTGCACCTGGAGAAGAAACTGCAAGATGAGATCAGCATCGCCAAGCAGGAGGCACACCGGCTCCGAGAGCTGCGGGAGGGCACGGAGAATGAGCTGAGCAGGCAGAAGTACGCCGAGCAGGAACTGGAGCAGGTGAGGGTTCGGCCAGACCTGGATGCACGTGCGTACGGGGCACGCCAGCGAGAATGGGAGGCAGTTCCTCACTCTGCTTCATCCTTCTGAGAAATCCAGTGATGTTCTGCTTATAATGCTCCTTCTGCCTTTGCTTTTCCACTCCCCTCTGTGGAGGAAAAGATCCAAGCATTTCTTCCCCTACTCCACCTTTCACGTCTCCTGCACGTACACCAGTGCTGCGTGCGTGTGGGGCAGCGGGGACCGTGCAGGGGCTGTCTCCGGAGCGATGTGCGTCCTCCCAGCTTGCCCTGCAGGAGGAGAGGTCTTGAACTTAGAATCATAGAATCATCTAGGTTGGAAGGGACCTTTAAGATCACCAAGTTGGACCGTTAACCCAGCGCTGCCAAGCCCACCCCTAAACCATGTACCTCAGCACCACATTTACCTCTCTGAGACATCCCCCCAGGGATGGCGACTCCACCACGTCCCTGGGCAGCCTGTGCCAGTGCTGGACAGCCCTTTCCGGGAAGAAATTTTTCCTGATATCCAATCAAAACCTCCCCTGGCACAACTTGAGGCCGTTCCCTCCTGTCCCATCGCCTGTTCCTTGGGAGCAGAGACCGACCTCCCCTCGCTCCCCCCTCCTTTCAGGGAGCTGTGGAGAGAGAGAAGGTCTCCCCTCAGCCTCCTCTTCTCCAGCCTCAACACCCCCAGGGCCCTCAGCCGCTCCGCACAAGACTTCTGCTCCAGACCCCCTTGACCCTTGACCCATCACCCCTCTGGTGACTTCTAACTCCCACTCCAAACCATAAGCTCTTTCTTTTTTTCCTTTTGTATTTAGTCATGGGTTTAGGAGATATTTCGGATGAGTTTGGTCGTGCTTACCATGTTTTCCTGTTGATTGGAGAGGCGTACAAAGGAAATTTCCGTTCAAGGAAGTGTAGCACTAGATTAGAAATCTGCACAGCAAAGTTAGAATTCATATGCACTTCTCAAAAAGATTAGCTTTAAATTCAGACTAGCAGAAAAATATGTCCCCCAGTTACATCTTGCGGTGTCGGCCGAGACAGAACATTGTGTGATGTGCTGCTGGCACAAAGGAACACGTTTGGTATATATCAGTTTAAACTGAAATCGTGTGAGCCAGAATCGCGCAAGCCGAGAGAGTACGGTGGACGTTGTGAGGCCATCAGCACATCCTCCCAACCTGAGCGTGCCACCATGGAGGATGGGGAAGAAAACGAGACAGGAGGCTGGGGTTCCCACTGCCAAGTGCGAAACACGCGTCCTGGGCTGCGGGTGACGGGGAGCCGTGGGGCGGTGCAGCCCCGCTACGCACATCCTCAGCAAACAGCAAATTTCCTTCCTGCGTGGGACACCAACAGCCCAGACACCCCCCGGTGCCCGTCACCAGCTTTGCTCTCCTGGTCCAACGTCCTTCCCCCTGACAGGTCCTCCAGCCCCTCACGCAGTCACCCAGCTCTGTTTTGGGACAGGCACTGGTGCAGTCACGCAGGGTTCGGTCATGGCATATTGTGGGTCATTAGATGAGGACACGTTCCTCTTGTAGCCCCCAGCCCTCGCACCCGTCCTGCTCCTGGCTTTTGGAGGAGGCAGGGTCTCATCCCTCCCACTTCCCCCTCCACTGTGCGTTTGTTGAGAAACCGGAGAGCCAGAGGTGACTTAACCGCTCTGTTGTTTCTTAGAGCCCTTCGGGAGGGAGGCACTGCCAGGGTGAGTATTGGTTTTACCCACCTGACCCACACTGTGTGATGATAACCCGATCACCGTCCCGGCGAGCTGTAGACCACAGACAACATTAACCAGTCACTCCCACTGACCGTAAAACTCAGCCGATTTTAAGATATTCTTGGGTCCCAGGGAATGTTAAAACAAAACCTTCTTTTGCATCTTTAAAAGGATCCTGGAGGGTTTGGGAGCTCCCGAGTGGAGCGGGGCGTGTGAGCTGGAGCAGCAGTGTGTTTCTGGGATGGGACTCTCCCGCACTGGGTTGTTCATACCGGTCCTCTCTCCTCGCTAGGTTGTCCTCCCCCAGACCCCGCACCCAGCCGGGGCAGTTCCTTGCTTTATGAATTGTTGCTCTTAGTGATCAAAAGGGGATCTCAGAAATCTTCACAGGAGAATGTAGACTCGCGAAGAACTCCCGTTTGTGTTGATCCCCCTGTAGAACCGCGAGGGGGTGTGTTTTGGACACTGCTCTATGATGGCTCATCTCAACCACTGGTCCTTGGCTGTTGTTCTGCACCGCTTCCCTTTTCCACCGTTCCATAAAAACGTTGTTCCTGTAAATGTCTTGAGCACTTCTCTACCCCAAATACCTAGTGGCAGATTTCCTGCCCGCTTATTCTCCATATTCCTAAATACCAGATGCTCACGGATCGTGATCAGAGCTCTGCCTGTGGTGGGAGCAGTGCCGGGTGCTGCTGGTGGCAGAGGGGAAAAACAGACCTTGATGGGGTTTGCAGTTCTGAATTCGGAACTTTTTGAATGATGTAGGCAATGTTGTGCTCAAGAAGACTAAATCACACCTAAGGGATATAAGTAGTTGACCTCTTCTGTGCGGTGGCTAATTCTAGATGGACTTTGCGAATGTCCTCTGGGATAAAATACGGGGTTTCAAATATCTGTGTGTAACACGGTGCTTTGGGCTCACTAGAAATGACGCCTGTGCCAGACGTGGTGAGACACGACTGAGTTAAGTAACACGTTAAGGGAAAAGATCCAAGTTTGAGCAATCTTTTAAAAAACCACCGAGCTGCAGCCCGCGTGTGGCTGTGCCGCGTGGGGGGCGAGGAGGCAGTGGCAGCGGGGACGTGGGAAGTGTGCGTGGGGTGTTGGGAAGGGTCCGGCCACACTCCCGCTGTCTGTGTGTTCCTTAGACCGAGGCCCTAAAGAACCAAAAGAGAAAATGGGACAGACATGGTCCAGCATCATCCCAGTGACACCTGTGTGGCCCTGACCGTGTAGCTGGACCTTTCCTCCCATGTCTGCCTTGGTGGGCCAGGGCTCGCCGGGGCCGTGGAAGCTCCTCAAGGTGCTCAGGGCCGGCGTGTATTTCAACACCAAGGAAGTCTGTTGTAGAGTGCATAACCACGTATACCCCTCCTGAGCTTCCAGGTGCTGTGGTTGAAGAGTAGTCCAGTCCGCCGCCGCTGTGCTGTCCCTGGATGGCAGCAGTTCCGAGCTGCAGTCGCCATCCTCCGGCTTCTCCGGTGTGGGACACGTTCACTTCTTGCAGGGTTGTGTCAGGCTTCGGGTTTATTAACGTCTCTTCACATTACGTGTAATGGAAGAGAAGTGTTAATTCTTGATGGTCTCTAGCACCAAGTGCTTTATGTAAGGTTTTGGTATCTTCAACTTGCTTGTCACCCACTTCCTTCTAATTTTGTAACCGCTCCCTTCTCCAGCAAGATAAGTGAGTGTGTGGAGGAGAGCAGACCGATGGCGCGTGGAGGAGACTGAGCTGGGATGGAAGCAGAGTCCCCCAGAAAGCTGCAGAAACTGCCGATTCCAGACGTGTGATTTCTTTTCCTGACCAGGCAGCACATGTTTTATGTCTAAATATTTTTATCATCTTGCTCCAGTGTGAAAGTTGTCTCTTGACAGGCTCCCGCTGTTTGGCTCAGTAGCTGCAGCGAGGACAGGTGGTCGCCTGCGCGGGGCCGCCAGCGAGTCCGCCTCGGGAGGAGAATCTGTGGGTCGTGCAGACCTGCGGGCGGGCAGCAGACTTTGCAGAGATACCCGGCGGCTGCGATAAGCACCCGGAATGTCCGTACCTAAAGTTCTGATTCCCTTTTAACCAGCTCGTCGGCTCCGCAGGGTCTCCCGGCAGCTGATGCCGTTGTGGAGCGGAGGAGCTGAGGTAGAGCAGGTCAGTTCTGCTGACCCTGCCCGAGAGCTGAGGCACTGAGGCGGGACAGCGTCGCGGTGGATGGTAGCTTTTGAGGAAGGAGCTCACCTTTAGGATGAGAGGAAACCACCGTAGGGTGTTCCGGTCACCCCATCCTCGGCTGTTGGATGGCTGCCCTTCTGCACTCCTCTCCCGCTTGCCCGTGGTACCGGGGTACCACCTCTCCTCCTAATGACTTTTGCTTCTGTCATGAGTAAGATTAAGTTGGGTGGAGTCTTATTTTTCCTCTGGTGCCTTAAAAGCGCCGGGTTGGCAGCCAGCGGTCGGGGTGACCTTGCGGAGGGCAGGCTGTCCCCACCGCTGCTGCAACGCCGCGCCGGCCGGTTCTCTCCCAGGTGCGGATGGCGCTGAAGAACGCCGAGAAGGAGCTGGAGTCCCACTGCAGCTGGGCTGCGCCCGAGGCCCTGCAGAAGTGGCTCCAGCTGACCCACGAGGTGGAGGTCCAGTACTACAACATCAAGAAACAGAACGCAGAGAAGCAGCTGCTGGTGGCCAAGGAAGGGGTGAGAATTTCTGCGTCTTTGTCCTGGGTCCTCCTCTCGCAGCCGTGGGGAAAGGTTTGGGGAATGAAACTTAGGATCATAGAATGGTTTGGGTTGGAAGGGACCTTGAAGACGATCCAGTCCCAATCTCCTGCCCTGGGCAGGGCCACCTCCCCCCAGCCCAGGTTGCTCCAAGCCCCGTCCAACCTGGCCTTGAACACCTCCAGGGATG